GTCGAGCGGGGGGAGGCCGGGCTGCGGGGCGGGCAGGGGGAAGGGGAAGGGGAAGGCAATGGGGAAAGAGAGACAGAGAGAGAGACAAAAAACAAAACCCACACACCAAACCCGGCCCCGCCCCGCCCTCCCCGCACGTGCCCCGGGGGCGGGGCCTGCGCGCACCCGCGCGGGAGCGCTCTGCCCATTCCACAGGTGGGAACACTGAGGGCGGCTTCCCCCACCCCCCCCCAGCACCACTGCGCTCAGGGCACGTCAGCACCCTCGCCCACTGGCACCCCACCGGGGACGGCTCCAGAGACGCCTGCCTGGAAAGGGGGCCCAGCCAAAAGTGGGGTTTGGGTGCCCCCACCCCCCCCAGCACTGATGCTGACGCTGGCTTCTGCGGGTGCTCGCCAGCCCCATCCCCACCACCAACACTGGCTTCTGCAGGTGCTCACCAGCCCCGTCCCTGCCACCAGTATCGCCTTCTGCAGGTGCTACGCCAGCTCCATGCCCAACACCAGCTTCTGCAGGTGCTCACCAGCCCCATCCGCGCCACTGCCACCAGCTTCTGCGGGTGCCACGCCAGACTCAGGAGGCACCAGTCGCCCGTGGAGCAATGGTGCTTCTTGGTGGCGCTCTTGGGAGTGCGGCAAAGCAGTTTGGATGCAGCCCCAGCGTCCTTGAACGGCCACCAAGCAACCTCCGCACCGCTACGAGAGGCCACGCGCTGCCAGTGGGTTAAGTCGGGCGGCTGAGAGGCAGGAAGCCCAGACTCTCTCCCACGAGCTCACAGGGAAGCCACGTTCTAGCGGTGAACATCTCTGTAGTTTCCATCCCTGTGGATGGAGATAAGCAGGGCACCATTTTCAAAAGCAGGTGCCTAAAATTAGGCACAGCACTCAGTGGCCTCACTTGCCAAAAGTCTGAGTAGCTGTGGGAGCTGTCATCGAGTTCTCCAGGCTTTGGATTGGGCCCGATATCTGATCACCAATTTAGCTCCCTAAATAGGGTTTAAAGTATACAACTTTATGACCCCAAATTTGCCAGAACTGGCCAATAATACCTGCACACACTGAGGCACATGGATCCCTTCAGATGGAAAATACTATGTAAGGGCAAAGGATCGGTTATGACTGCATTATTACTAATTACGGCAAGTGTTTATGAATTATGGCACGGCCTAATTTACAGACAGCGATTTAAGAGTGAAAGTCATTCTAGTGCCTTACCTATCCCCTGAATAATCCAATCCCAATTAAAATGAAAAGAATAGCGTGTCATTGTATTGTTTAGTATGGTACTACCATTTTTCTCTACCCTGCAGACCCATGTGTGACTCTTGCCTTTTTTAATGTGACAACATTCACACTCACAACAGAAAATAATGAGGGGTAAAGCTCAAAATGTTGTGAAATTCTTTTCATATATATATATATATATTCTTTCTTTCTTTCTTTCTTATCTTCCTAGTTTCCAGACAGTGTTTTTCTAAGATAAAAAATGTGAGTGTTATTAATGAGATAATATCCAGTTTATGGGGATAAGGCTAGATTTACTGGAGTGTGAGCTGAGAAGTAAACGAGGAACAATACATATATTCCAATTAAGGATTTCAAGTGTACATCATCAGGGAATCTGGTTAGTGTGTCCATGCAATACTGCCCTCTCCAGGAAGGAACCAGATCCACAGGACTGTGTCTTGGGTCCTTCGGTAAATTGGTAGCAGGGGCTTCACTGATGCACTGCAGTCTGAAGTGGCAACATGCTCACAACCCAAATGACCTCACATTTGCCACAACGTTCTGCACAAATAATGTCAAAGAATTAATTTTAAACACATTACACTGTTGTTTACTTGATCCTCTCATTCCCACCCTCATCTAGTTACAATAATTTCTTATTATCATTTATTGTGGTAGTGCCTAGGCAACCCGGTCAGGAATTGAGACCCCATTGCGTTAGGCATTGTATAAATATAACAGACAAGACAGAACATTTCCCAAAGAACTTGCAATAAATACCCCAAAATACATATACCTTCTACCTACCTATCGGTGCCAATGTAATGTTCACTCTCCCTCTCTATGAGATGTAAATTATTTGACACTGGTAACGCAGAATCCTGAAATTTCACTCACGAGTACTCAAATGGTGCTTTGAAATCAAACCTCACATCATCGGTATAAGATTGATGGAGTTTAAGGCCAGAAGGGATTATGACGATGCTGTAGCCTGACCCCTTGCATAACACAGGCCAAAGAATCTCATCAGTAATTTCTGCCTCAAGTCTGTAACTTCTGTTTGAGCTGTAGCATATCATAAGCATCCATCACTATTATTTATCATGTCGCTTCATTCCACATGGCGCTGGAATCTCATCATGCTAAGAGACTCGCATGCATCTCGATTCCTAGGCTAGCTGCAGATGTTCATGTTTTCCTAAGACTCCAGAATGCTTTGTGAACAGGGCAGTTTCTAAGCATCAAAAGACTCTGACTTAAGGGTTAGGTGTCAGGTCAGCCTCTCACTCAAATTTTCTTTTGCCAATTTAACCTGCACCTTTAACTTCGTGTTACTGTACTTTTTGTGCTAATAGAACCCGTATTTGAAATAACTAGTAATGTAGGAATCCTCAGGAGCCAGTACAATTTTAATGACAAGTATATGAGACATTCCCATTAGCCATGGATCATTGACACAATAGACTGTAACAGCTTCTTCAGAGTCATTACAGTCTGTCATGTCAGGATGAACTCCGGGAGCCTATAATCCTGTTTGATTGACATGATCTAGGTGAGCTATTGTAGTGAACTCAGTTATTTGAAGAGTCGATTTAAAAAAAAATGAAAGAAATCCCTCCCTCTGCAGTGGTTGCATATAACAGTATAGGTTGAGGTAGACTGGCTATGTATAATTCTATTCTGTATAATTATATACACAGAACTAGGTTCAAAGAAAATTATTTTTGACTGCAAAATCAGGCACTCAAAAAATAGGAAATACCTGTCCAGCCTTAATTTGGACCCCGCATCTGCATGCAATATAGTAGTCTTTCATTACACAGTGGTATACTATTTGTTTTCCATAGTATGAACTCTAACACATATTAGGATAAGGACGAAAATGGCTTATCAACATTAATTTGAGATTACATATGGTAGCTATGTTAGTCCTCTCAAATGGGTGCCAAATCCTTGATATCACACTACTCCTTTCAGCATTTTAACTGGTAAGTCTTATACAAACCAAAAAAACTATTTTACAAGTGTTTACAGGGCTTCCTTCAGCTTTATTGGTGCTATGTCTCTATGCATCTGCCTAAAAGTTACCATTTTAGAACTCCTACTACTCCACTGAAAATAAGGGGAATACTCTCATTGACTTCAACAGGACCAGGATTGCACTACATACGCCTAAGTGCATAAAGTGAAGGAGGAACCATCAAACCACTCGAGAGAAATTTTAAAACGGCATGTGTGCTCTTAAAAATGCCACGATTAAGGACCAATGGCTTAAGATTTTAGGACTGCAAGCCAGAGCTGGGTCATGACAGTTTTGAGATGCAGAAAGGCTGCCATTGTCTCAAGATTGAATCTTGCCCATACTGGGCTTTGGTCTATGATAGTTCAGTTCGGGGGATATAGGAGTAGCAAAAATGAACAAATATGAGGTGAAGAAAGAGAAACCATTCCACTGACAACAGACTGATTTCAAGAAAAAAAAACAATATCCCAAGAAGATGGATTAGTGGACAGAACCAGGTGGTCAAGGATTTCTGATAGAACAAACAATATCCCAAGAAGATGGATTAGCGGACAGAACCAGGTGGTCAAGGATTTCTGATACATTTTCGAATTGTTGCAGGGTTGTTGGTTATAGCCGTGTTGGTCTAAGGACACAATGCCTGAGGAAGGGTGTTTCTGCCTGAAAGCTTGCAACAAACTTTTTTCCAGCTCTTTTGTTGGTCTAATAAAAGATCTCACATCTACCCAAAAAACCGTGCCATTTTAGAATTGTGTCACGGAAGTATTTATCACCTATACATAATTTCTGCATATTACCTCCATCCACAGCATGTAGATAAACAAGCTATCTGCGCATTCATCTACATGCACGTGATATTCTAACACACACTAAAACTAAAATATCCCATGAGATTTCATATGTCCTGCGAGTGGGATTTTGAAAATCACCCAGTGTTTATCTGACTCTTCATTCATTGCAGTTAATAAGAAAATGCCAACGGCCAGGGCTCACGGGCATCAACCAGAAACCGGGGGCTAGAGGGCATCCACCAGGAAGGGGGACTAGTGGCTGCTTGAAGCTGGGGGATCAGTCCCCTCCTTCCATCCCCATTTATTCTTTGTGGCCAAGGACCACAGCAGTGTCCTGGCATGGACATGGAAAACCAAAGTTCAATTTCTGCCCGGCCTGATTCAGAACCAGGGTTTTCAAGCTAAATTGCTCCAAACCTCTCTTTCTCTATTCATGCATGAGTGATGTCAGACAGAAGTTCAGAGCCTAAAATGAAATTAACTAAAATCTTGGACCTACACATCTCAAAATCCGACTCTCCGGCTCCAAATTTAGTAGCTTAAGCTTCTCTCTTAAGTTTAATGTGTTCCAGCTATAGCTAGGATAACTAGCATTGCAAACCACTTCCATTATAACCCCCTGTGTTTCACATGTTTGTGACATTTTGGGAAATATTCACTTTCAGGGGCTGAAATGTTGTGGACTTGGTCCTTGGCCAAAGAAAAGTGGAGTT